CTGATAGTAAACTTTTCTCTCTATTGATTATTTAATACGTGATTTTATTAAATAAATGCACAATATAAAATATATATAATTAAAAAAAAAAACAATTATTTACCTTTCATACCAATAGTTAGCTTTTTGTAAATCTCTTATTACGCCAATTCCATTTCGATAACAATAAGCAACTTGTGACATTCCACCAGCATTACCCATATCAGCAGATTTTTGATAATAAATAAATGCCTTATGTTCATCCTTTTCAACTCCGGTTCCATTTAGATAACAATCACCAACATTACATGTTCCAACAGCATCACCCATATCTGCGGCTTTTTGATAATAGATGAATGCCTCACGTTGATTTTTTTCGACACCAGTTCCGTAATAATATTTTTCTCCTAGTTTGCATAATTCGTTTGCATTCATTTTTAAATGAGCGATAGCATCCGTGTGTTTTTGATATTTTTGAAATTTATCAAATTATGTCGGCGTTCGTACGTACATGGTGCGACGTTTCATAACATATAAACCACAGAAATTGTTCCGCAGAATTTGATTGTAAATTTAATAATTTGTCTTGACCAACAGCAGAATTGATAAATATTTATTGCAAGAAATTTAAAGGAACAAAATACAAACTTTTCAAACTTTTGACGGCCAACTTTAGAATAATAGTTAGATTTACTTCGTTTCGACATTCAATATAATGTAACATTTTATAACAGGCAAGGAAATAAATTATCTTCAACTCGACCTGAATAATATTTTCTTTTTTACGCATAGATTAATACATTTCAATAAATACTGTACCATTGACATGATTTTAAACTTTTATGCTACCAAGAGAAATTCAAATCTTTTTTTTCACATTTCAACCTTTTACGCTTCGAAGCGAATTTAATTAATATATCTTTGATCTCAATGTAACTACCATAGAATTTATTATGCAGTCATTATGAAATTTACTATAAGGCAAAATAAGTTTTTTTTACAGATTAAGTTGCCGCCCTTGGTTTTCTAAATAAAGCTATGGAAAAGAAGTAAAAGAATAATGTTCTTTGGGTTTCTAATTCATTCTTTGAGTTTCTAAATAAGGTTGTAGAAAATGATTATTCAGTTCTAATGCATGTAAAATTATCAAAATCGGTTCGATTATCAGTATCTGATTCAATTGAATAGTTCGAGTGTTTATTCATTAGCTCATGTTGATTTCTTTTATTCTTTTAGCTTTTTTTCTCAAATATTATTTTCTACTTTCATAATGTAAAAAAAAACAAATTTAAATTTAATAAAATAGATCTATTACGCATGATACTGATTACGTAAAAAAGTATACTAATTAGATAAATTGTTATTTTTCCTCTTTAGCTAGAACTTTGTTTATTAAACTAAGTCACCAACTATTATACTCTGGTTTGCTTTAAAATATTCTCTAAAGTGATTCTTTCTCTATATATTGTGTTGCAAAAGAAAACGGGAATTAGTCTTTCTAAAAGGTTTCATTCTATAACATATATAGATTTAACACGGAAATCCTAATTTTTATTATTCTTTGTTTAAATTTATACAAATTCCCAATATATATAATACTATTTCAATTTTCTTCTCATAATTTAATAAAAAAAGAAAATAATTAATTCTAATTATGTGGATTAAACAGTCTAGATATATAAAATTTACCATAATAATAAATTATATAAAAATGATTAAACTAAATCGTATAAATTTTAAACGGTTCAAATATTTTGGCCATTTGTTTTAAGATATCTAACTAGATTAAGCACATTTGGATATTGTAGTATAACTGTGAGATTCAACTCATGATAAGCAAAACACTGTCATATTTTTCAAACTCCCTAGAAATTTCAAGATCCTAATTGGCCATAAAAATTTTTGTTGGTTTTTATATAATAATGTCGAAATTAAAGAATTACTCTTTATAATTACATTTTGTGCCATTCGTATGGCAAACACTTCTATATAGCAAATTGGAACGTCTATAGTATAGTTGTTAGGCGAAACCTAGTTTCGTCTTTCGTCAAAAAAATTTTGAAATGGTGAAACGGCGAAACTAACAAAAGTGAAACAATTAAACATATAAAATAATAAAATTAATAAAAAGTTATTTTTATTAATATATATGTTGTGCCTCAGATGTATTCTTGCATCAGATTAAAGCTCAGATCAGGGACCATGAAAAATATCGATTTAGATATAAATCGATATTTTGGGCCAACAGGGTTGTCTTTAAATTTCCGGGTCGAAATCCATCAGAGTCATGTTTGGTTGGACAGCATTAGTGATAGGCATGCGCGGGATTTTTAATATGATCCCCAATTCAGGCCAGCTGGCCCGCATTAACATAATTTTTAAGAAACCCACAATGTAATTCTATCTCGCGCATCACGCGCGGATCACGCGCGTAACCCGCATCTCACGCGGGATATTTTGGAAAACCGTGATTTGCCCATCACTACTAGTGATGGGCATGCGCGGGATTTTTAATATGATCCCCAATTCAGGCCAGCTGGCCCGCATTAACATAATTTTAAGAAACCCACAATGTAATCCTATCCCGCGCATCACGCGCGTAACCCGCATCCCGCGCGGGATATTTTAGAAAACCGTGACTTGCCCATCACTACCTATCACTTACGAAGCCAAACCCTATCCAGAATTAATTATCGAATCCGTCTTAGAGCATTTCACATACTTGAAATTCCGAAATAGTTCAGAGGGATTGATAATTATAATTTTGCATCTGCTCAGCCGTGGAACTCGCCATGCCCAATTTGGATAACATGGGAATTATGGATTACATGGCTCATGGTACCGCAAAAATGGGAATCAGCTCCCTTATGATCCTGAATTAGCGAAATTGTATTCCCAAGATAAGTTGGAATATTGTCTTACCTGAAACACTTCAAGCAATAAACATAAGTTCGCGATCGTGGCTTAGACCGGTCATGTGAAATCGATCACCTGAAATGCGCAGAAGATATCGGAAAAATTCTTGCCTGAAAGAATAGGGGTAAATTTTTCAGCTATAGAAACGCTCTCGAAATAGTATCCGTGCAAATGTCCTTTTCAAAAATTACTCAGGTCTTTCATAGGACCGTTTTCCCAATTCACTTTGTTACTCCTCGAGTTCAACGCCTTCGGTCACCAAGATCTGATTTGTTTCAAGTGTCCTTTTCAAGAACTTATACTCCTGCGTATTGGGAGTTATACGAAGAAAATTGCCGTTTGAAAAGAGAACGTGCTGAAGTGTTTGATGGTTACAACAAATTCAAAGCATTACAAAAAGAGAAACAACGTAAAAATTGGTACAGCTCATAACTTACGAAAATCGTTCTAATCGATCATTACTTCTAGAACCACCGTGGGAGCCTTCACCGAAAAAACAAAGGATCATGACGCGTATGCGATTTTGCCCCTATTTTACTTCCTTCTACCCTTACCAAGAAATTTCATATCGGAGACTAATTCTTTTTCAATACTATCGTAGAGGGAACCGCTACTCTCTTTGCAGGAAAAATCATTCCCAGTAGCTGGGGCCACTTCGACGAAATTGTGAATAGAGGTTATACTTTTATTGACAAAACATCACTAATCACTGAATTCATTGAGTGCGCTTCAGGTGTTTCTCTCGTCGTTCGGCCGAGACGATTTGGAACTGTTCAGAGATACAAAAATTACGGAGAGATCATGTCTACTCCGTGATCACTTTTGCAAGTATCCGGTTATCTTCCTATCTCTCAAGGTATGGCGTTATTTGCTTCTGTACACTGCAAACCGTTTTATTGATCTGTTAATTTTTTACATTCCTTTTCCAGGGTTTCGATGGTTTTAATACTTGATTGAAGATGCAAGCTTTATTGTGTGAGAAGTTGGCATCACTCTATGAAGAGCACGGATACATTAATGATATTCTAAGAAATCACGATTTAATAAGATACGTTCTGGTGATTTTGAATATGCGATCACAATAATTCTCTTGAAAACCTTTCCAAATACTTGAAAACCTACCACAGAAGAAGGTGTATTGTCCTAATTGACGAGTACGATCGCCCCCTGGAAATTGCTTACCTATATCAATATTACGAAGAAGCTCGTGGTTTTTTTTCCGCTTTATTTGGAACGCTCCTAGAAAAGAAACTAGCACTTATTGTTAGACCAGTTCCCACCCAAGTCTAAATCTCTATTGCCTAGTGCTAATTTCATGTTCCAACGAAACCCAGACCTATCTAAGGAAAAAAAATTTAGTTCCTGCGAAAAGAGAGAAAAGTTGGTAATTATCGTTTGACTAGTTCCTAGCTTAAGTCCAAAGAAACACTGTCTTGGAACTCTTGACGTTTAACACCGAGATCTACAAAAAGTGTGGATCGAACGCCTAAGAAGAACAAAAAAGTTAGAGCTCAAGAGCACAAGACTCGAGAAATAAATGATTTTAGTAAAGAAGACGTTGAAGTCCCACCTAACTACGGATCTTCTAACGATTTCGAAGAAATGAAATTTTGATTGGTTATTTTTAGAACGTCGATCATTTCTTTAACTTCTTTTACTATTTTTAGATTCCGATTATTTCGTGTAACTTTTTTTGTAAAATCGTATTACCGTTACTCGATTTTTTACTATGTCAATCGATTTTTATTTATAATTGAAAAATGTAGCTTGTGTCAAGTTTATTTAGATCTAACCAAAACTCAATTTTCATTTTTAAGGTAGTTTCGGCCCTTTCTACTGCAAAGCCTTCATGTTATGAAACGTCGCACCATCTACGTACGTATGACATAATTTGATAAAATTTCAAAGATATCAAAAATAAACGGACTCTGTCTCTCATTTAAAAATGAATGCAATTAAAAGTGCCCTTCGCGGAAAAAACAAAAAGAATGCAAACGAATTATACAACCTAGGAATAAAATATTATTACGGAACTGGTGTCGAAAAAAATGAACGTAAGGCATTCGTTTATTATCAAAAAGCCGCCGATATGGGTCATACTGACGGAATATATGAAGTTGGTTATTGTTATTGTCATGGAATTGGAGTTGAAAAGGATGAACATAAGGCATTCATTTATTATCAAAAATCTGCCGATATGGATAATGCTGGTGGAATACGTGCACTTGGTGTCTGTTATGAAAATGGAATTGGAGTTGAAAAGGATGAACATAAGGCATTCATTTATTATCAAAAATCTGCTGATATGGGT